CAGCTTTATCTGATAATTGACAATAAAAAAGTTAACATAACCTAAGATAAAGTCTACACAAAATTAATTAAATACTTTTAATAGATCATTAATTTGAAAAAAAACTGATAAAGCAAATAACTTACCGATATACATCATCGTAATCATCTCTTAGTTGTTCTAAAACAAATGTTCCAATTCCGGAGCCAGTCCCTTTAAACATTATAAATAGTATTGAAATACCTCCTCCAAGAGAATGAATTATGAAAAAGCATTGCAAGGAATCACATAATTCTGCAGCTTTTCTAATTGATGAACGCAACCGTGAAGCGAACCTTTGCCCATAAAAGCAGTTGGCAACTGCCCTTTGATAGCAAGAGCATGCATATGGAAATGTGAATATTACCAATTATTTCCGGAACCTGAAACATCAGTTATAAGCTGTTTGAAGTTAAATATATCTTTCAAAGGGCTTCTCATTATTTCAGCGATTACGCCTTCCTCCATATCGATAAGTATTGCCTAAGCAATAATAAAAAAAGGCAAAATACTCGAGCTTTTAATCCAGCAATCCTACTACCTAGCTCCGAAGAGCTGGAGAAAAATGAAGACACACAACCATCATATAAATTGTCCTAAAATAATTGAAAAAAGTAAGCCAACATGTTTCGTAATTGCATGTTCACGCAAAGCCAAATCCCAAAAACGATATCCGATTTGATTTCCACATTGTCCAACTAAGTATGGCTTAGGTGAATGAATGATAAAGTACCTTGAATAAATAAGGATTGTGTCATAAACTAAGCGTAAACTAATTCAATCAGCGCGGCAAACAAGAGCATTCAGATTTTGGAATCAGTATAATACATGTAAGTATAAGTAAAACCAAGTCAATAACAATAAGATTATTCAATAGAAAGATTCAGATTTATGAAAAATCCCGTTGATTTTTTTATTTGGCTTGGTATTTAAAGTATCTAAAGCAAATAACAATTTATAAGAAATACAAGCAAAGAAATATTTAACATAGGGCAAAATATCTAATAAAATATTTTTGCTAAATTAATTGCGTAACTTTGTTATGAATAAATAGCATTGGAAGTAAAATTTAATTCTTTTCCAAAAGTAAAAGTATTTAATCCTCCAACTTATTCTACTCCGTAAATACTCGATTAACCTTCATCAAGATTGAGAGAGGATCCCATAAGAATGTGCTTCACCTAAATTCCCAAAAAACTAAAATTGCATTTGACCACGGACGATTTGCTGTCGTGTTTTAATGAGATTTACCTATAATTACACTTTTTCACGTAATATAAAAGTATCCAAAGATATACTAACTTATTCTCTAGAAGCTATTTATTTTTCGTACTTCCTCTTTCAGACAGATTTCTTTATTAATATCGA